ACCCCTCTCCTGCTTCGCTTATTACTTGGACCTTTTGCCAAGCATCTCCATCCGTCAATGCCCATCTAGATTCCCTTCTGGATCCTTACGTTTTCCGTTCCGATGCGCTTTTCAATGGCTCGCCATGGCCTCAGCGCTTGCCGTCGTCATGGCAGCAAGCACGGCTCCGCGCAGCGCTCGCATGGCCTCGAAAGTCAGAGACGAAGACTTCCGCATTCCCACTGACATGATGTTGCAAGGACTTCATTGCAGCGGCGTCACGGCACGACTCCCGGGGCCTCTCCACTGCACAGGAGGGCGCTGCTTGAGCCTTTAAGACTCTGAGGAAAGTTGTACAGCCAACCACCCGTACGTGTCATTGCTGCTTGATAAGAACAAGATACTCTCTGCAGGGACATGTGCGCAAACCTGTGTCACTGCAAACTCCATGGCATCATCAGGGTGACGCCCGAGTCAGAACAAGGAGTCGAAAACGGAAGAGACCAATTCAGAAAACTTAGGGGACCGAGTCAGAAAGTGGAGAGGCCTGAGTCGGAAAACGAGGGCTGCACGAGTCGGAGAGCAGGGCTAGCGAGTCAGAAAACAACACAAAGGCCCTAAACCCTAAACCCTACACCCAAAACCCAAAATCCAAAACCCTAAGCCCTAAGCCCTAAACCCTAAACCCCTTAACCCTTTTTGAACCCAGTCTCTGATCCCTAAACCCTACTCTAAACCCTAAACCCCTTAACCCTAAACCCTAAACCCCAAACCCCGGAGGGAGTGTCGGCAGATGTTTTCGACTCAAGGCCCCCCTGGTTTTCGACACGAGGCCGTGGCGTTTTCAACTCGGCGGGCTCGACTCGAAAGCAGATTTGCTGACTTGACAATCACTCGCATCATCATCAACACCCCAACAATCGAACCTGCATTCAAGGCAGCAGTTTCGAGTGGCCGACGCACTGCTGAAGCACGGGCCTGGAAGGTCGCTCGATGAGACCCTTTTCATGCTCTAATTCGTCACCGCAGCACCGCAGGATGGCAGGGAGGAAAGGGCCTGTTCCAGACTGTCCCGCGGCAGATGAACTGGAGTCACTGGAGTCCTGACATGACAGACACAAGCTGGTCTGCGTGCTCCGAGGCCGGTCAAGGACCGCAGTCGACCCTTCCAAACCAGAAGCACCACATCACATGCAAGACGTTTTCAGCCCGCAGCGTCGGAACCTTCTGTCTCTTGTCCTAGTAGTAGGTAGAGCTATCTGCGAGTACTTGCGGGAACTTCTCTCAGAACACTCAAGCACATAGAGGAAGAGATCCATCAAATGGTGATGCCCTGCACCTCCTTCTGCTGCGACAGTTTCAGCATCCTGACGGAAAGTGTTCAGGGTGCTACGCACATTCAAAACTGTTTCGGTACATTGCAGCTGCAGCCCGGGCTTGGGTCCACTTCGGCCGCGAGACTCTAGAACTGCGCGGCATCCCTACGTATCCAAGGTATCTGGCGGCTCAAGCCGCCCTTGCTACCCGCGCAGAATACTAAGGCACTAAGGCCGACCACACGAGCCACACTGGCTAGGCGGCTGGGCTACTGGGCTTTCGGCCGTCCTGCAAGAGCTGACGTGGACAAAGAGCGTCACGTGCCCGGGAAAGACTCCCAAGTCGGTCTTTGCAAAGAGGTCCCGGGCCAGAAAGGTAGAGTGTTGAGGAAACCAGGAGATCCTCAAATGTGCTCAGGCCGTTCAAGCAAGGAACATGCTGGTTCTACGGTCGGCCCTGTCTGAACAGCTCGGGTACATGGAAGAATCGACGGTGATGTTGCTACCATCTCCGCCCGTGCCCGCATTTTGAAGAACCACTGCTGCCTCCTGGCCTCAGCAAGTCACCCTGGATGTGAAAGCTACGTGTGAAGAGCACGGCAGAGCTGTCTCTTGGGCCTCGAACCTGAAAGCTCGCGCACCCAAACACGCAAGTCTCCATCACAACCGGCCACGCAGAAGCCCTGCTTGCCCAGAACATCCTCAACACATGTCACCACTTCTCAAAGCCGGTCGGTGCCATGCACTATGCAGCCCCCGGTCCTGGTTCACAGAGATGACTTCCCGGTTCTGGAGAATCTCTTTGGATTCTGCCGATATCATTCGAAGGTCATTGGACATGAAGAGCGGCGCAGCAAAAATAGCCCACAAAGCGAACTGGGTCTGCTCTTCTGAATGCGACAAACCGAAGTTGCCCACAATCAGCATGTCAGGATCCTATGCAGTGGTGAGGTCAGCAGGAGCAACACGAAGACACTGCATGTCAGTCAACGCATTGGCCTGAAGCAGTGCCTGAGGCTCTGAGGCCGGCTCATTCCAGTGTCCGGGTCCAGCTGCTCGGACCATCTCGTCACTGCTGTTCCGCCTCTTCCAGAAGTTAACAATATCAGTCACCTCAGCTCAGCTTAGTTGATTGTGCAACAATCCAAACTGGACTGTGGACAAGAAGACTACGACAAGTTACAGACTGCCAGCTGTCATCAACCTTAGTTCGCATCCATGTGTTCCAAGCACTGTGTCTGTCTTGCAGAACTTGCATGTTCACATAAAGGGATCGCGGTCGCAATCGGCAGTCTGGCAAGGAACATCTCCGTAGTTGCGCCAGAGGTTGCCTGAGGCTATATCATGAGATTTCCGAAGCCTCGTGGCCTGCAGGAATATGCTGCGAAATATGACAACATGTGCAGACGGCAGAAACACAGCTCAGCAATAGTATGGTGAAATTGGTTGCCAGCTGCAGTTTTCCACTAAAGAGGCCATGCAGGCATCACTTCCTTCACAATGATGGGGCAGGTACGCAGGCCAGCTGCAGCTGTAGACCTCAATGAGACAAGTTCAGCAAGGAGGCTATGTGAAACCTCTACCAAGTCCTTCCCAGAAGGTCGATGATGACAGCAGACACGAGCTTCTGAGAAGTATGCTATCGGCCGTCCGGTCTTGTTCAAAGCTGCCCCAAAGGCAGGATAATCAGCCTGCATGTCCTTCGGAACCCTAGGAGACCACAGGTGCAAGAAGGCCTCTCTTCTACAAGAGGCGCCAGGTGTCCTTGAGTTCTTCGTAGCAACCATCCACTTTGATGTAGTCCACTCCCCAGGATGCAAACAGCCGGGCCTCGGAAATTCGAGTCTGACTCTGACTCTTCTGCCACCTTTTCTGAGGTCCCTGCATCCTCGTCAAAGTGGCCCTGGAGGCCCACTTTTCCAGCGCAGGTCTTGGAGCCGATGTCGCTGTAGGTCCCGAAAAGGAGACCACGATCATGGATGTATTTTCCTAAAGCGGCCATGCCCGAAGGGAATCGCGTGGGGTCCGCCACTTGCTGACCCTTCTCGTCACGCTCGGGGAGTGCCCAGCAGTCATCGATGCTCACCTGCTTGTAGCCAGCTTCTAGCCATCCATCCTGCCAGGTAGACAAAGGCTTTCCAAGACGGTGGGGAAGTCCGGTACCCCAACTACTCGTGGCCGGTAGCTGGAAGTTCCTGAATCTGGGAGGTGACGACGACCGACGAGACAGAACCCGTACTTGTCATCCTGGTTATTGCCCATGCAAGGTTGCAACCTCGGTGCCTCATATCTCCCGGCACCTCCTTGCGGAGATCCAAAATTACAATTCAGCTCCCTGGAAATCGAACGATGCGGTTGCACCTTCCACACTCTTATATCAGCCCATGGACCTGGAGGACTGCTATCAATGCATTGTACCGCCACGCACAGGTCTACATAAGAATCAGATCCTGGCACAGACTCAACCCGAAAGTCAGAACATGATCCAACCGAGCTAGCATCACAAGACAAGAGTCTGGCCAGCGATGCGAAAAGCTACGGAGACACATGTCGCATGGTGCTTTTAAACAGAGCTTTTGGCAGCGTGCTTCGAGCCGCCCATCTGCAAGTGGAAGACATGTCGAGTGCACGCAGTCCTTCGCAAGCCGATCAGCCATGTCCTTGATAAGCTGCTCATTGATGCAGTGGGACGGGCCCGAGGTACTGCAGTCGGTGATGCATCGGTAGCGTTCCCATGTCATCCAACCCATTGGCGGTGTGCGAGCAAGCCCATTGTCAAGGCACTCTGTCAAAGTTGTGGATATCACCAGGCACAAGGCAGACAAACGGCCCATTGCTAGCGCGGCGTACATAGGCGGTGGAGAACACCGTTTAACGCTTGAGAGAAAAAGGCCGAAGACATCTCTCACTTCTCCGATGCGAGTCTTGGTTGCCACTCGTCTCCATCTTGCGTCCTGGAGACTCTGGGCGACTCTGAGTGGGTCGGCGGTCATCAGCTGGGCCCTCTTTATGAACGACAGGCGAGCACGTGGCACTTGCGATATGAATGACTCCCACTTTCGCAAAATCCTGTAGCAAGATTTAGCCTCTGTCCATACATGTTTACTTGCAGAGCAATCGAGCGTGTTGGCATGGTTTGCTTGTTTGAGTTGGATCAAAAGCTGCAGACAGGGCCGCCAAGTCTGACCATCGAAAGTGCAAAATCAAGCAACAACAGCTGCACGGCGCAGGGAACCTAAAAGGATGCCAGAGCACGATACAGAAAGCATGCCAGAAACGTTCAGTTTATTGCCGAAGCCCGCTGCGACCAGAGGCGATCACAGTCCCGCAGATCGCGTGTCTCCGACGTTAAACCGTGCAGTTCAAAACTGTTCTACACAGGCCGGCCTTCCAAGCGCCAGGATTTTGAGATTCGTGAGACTCTGAGATGTGCCCCCGTGTGAGCGCTACAGATATGCTTCTGAAAGGTTTATATAGACACGAAGCGACTCCCGCATTCACTCGCTTTGGACACATATAAAGATGAACAAAAACATAACCAAACACGCACGCGCACGTATGTAGATGTCTATGTATATATGTACATATACATATGTGGGTATGGGGAGGGAGGGAGAGGGAGAGAGAGACAGGCAAGAGACACACAGACAGAGAGAGCGAGAGAGAGGCACAAATGGTCTGAAGAGAGGCGCTGAGGCGATCGGCTCAATTTTTGAACAGCTGATCCTGAGTCTTCATGCAAGTGGAAGGGGTGGGCAAGGCCGCCTATTCACGGCTCACTCTCCGATCATTTTACGAACACACTCCCGCAGAAGCACCCACATGCAGCCGAATCTCGATCTCATCTTGGTGCCTCTGCCTGACCTTTGTGCAACACTGACCACAGATGCTGCCTTTGTTGGATGATTGCACACTGGGGCCTCCTGGACAAAGTCATATGCGCACAAGAAGTCCTCCCGTGTGCCAGCAAGATCCACCAAAAGTTGGGATCTCCATTACAAACAAAGTGGTGAGAAACCAGCCTCCCTTTGTTGGTCGTTCATGGCCTGGAAAAGCGGCCCGCGCAAGATCAGCAGGTCCTACATTCGAGCGGACAGAGTCCACAGTAGGGGAGTCTCTGGACCCGGAGATCCTACCCGGAGTTCCTGTAAGATCTCTGGATCCTTTAGCTGGTGCTTTGCCCATTCTGCAGTCATCACCTCGATTCATTCAGAAATCTTCAACCGTCTCACATGCCCGGGTGACGGCATTGAGAGCCGCACCTGGACTTTGTTAAATTTCTTGCACCACCCTGGCACGGCACCCTGCAAAACGGGTAGCGAATGGGCTCGCGGCAAGAAGTAAACTCAAATAAGGGCGGCGAACAAGGTTGCTGGTTGCTGCTCCGGAAAGGTTGCCTGCTTGTCTGCCACAGCGAGAATCTCCCTGCGGAAACGCTCGGCTTCCTTCTGTGCCATCCTGCCACAGCTTGGAAGCCCCAGACAAAACACTAAAGTTTATCACTAGCAGTCAATAGCAACCTTTGAGCCAGACCTCACAGCAGATTCTGCATCATGCGGCACCGTAGCAGCCGGCAGTTGTTCTTGCCTCCTGCCAAACCACAGAACTTGGGCTCACACAGCACAACACCCCGACCACGATGTGCTTACTGATGCCACCCAGGACCATGTCGCCACAACACCCCGCTTCACGGACGAATTTGCAAAGAAAACAGGAGGAGAATGCACCTCAACACCAACACGAGAAGAATTGTCAACAGCCAGGCAATCACCCGATACATCTGCCCCACCACCAACCTCGCAAATTTCTCAGCACAGGCACAAAGCTTACTTATTTGATGGGATGCGGGTTTGCTGCTCTCACGTGGGGCGTGCCCGCTTATGATGCAAACATACGAGATTGACCTTAGCTACAAGACAGCAGAAAAAGTGGCAGAGGTAACCACAAGCTTGGGGCTCTGGCTTTGCTTTGCGACAACAAGCAGTCCTCGCCACCACATCTGGCGCCGCAGGCGGCAGCGCCTCCTTCAGATGCTTGCCTACAACATGAAGGCTGTCGGCTCTGAAATCTACCTACAGCATGATCTTTACAAACCTCACCTTGCGAGTCCGGGAACAGTGCTAGTGCCTCCTGGACTGCGGCTGTGTGCCTCGAGCTTCTCCAACTCTCGGCGCGCTGCCTCATTGTTGGGCTCCAGCCGAAGCACCTTCAGCAACGGTGCAGTTGAGTCCTTCGTTTTCTCCATCGAGAGGACATGAAAGGACCCTTGCCTGCTCGCTCGATCGCTGTCTTGCTTGCTGTCTTGCTTGCTATGGGTATGGCCGGTATGGGTTCTTGTCCTTGTCCCAATGTTGGAGGTGCACACTGTTGCTCGGCAGGCATAAATACTTCCGTCGTCAGCCACGCCTGCATTTGGTGCGTGGCACGTGGTGCGTCGGGTGTGGCTTTGTCGTTACGACGTGCTGCGGGTAATTTGCATTGCTTGGAACTGCATGGTTGCGCATTGCATTTTTCGAGTTGCGTTGCCTTGCATAGTGTTGCGATTTTGTTAAGCTGATTGTTTTGCTCTGCTTTGCTTGCTACTTCTTTGTGTATCTCTTTCTTTCTCTTGGTTTCTTACATGAGAAGGCAGCGAGCTACTCCCCTCCATCCGCGAGCGCACGCCTGCCGGTCTTCGCTTTGCTCAGAGCCGGAGGTGTTGGCATTCATCCACCATTCTGTGTGGATGGGTTGGCTGTTCCTCTCCAGGGCATGCGGGTAATTCCCCGGCCACCAGGCCCCCCCCCCCCTACTACTGGGATGCTTCCGGGGCTTTGTGATTGTGGGGATGTGAGAGCATCATCAGCCATTCGACCGAAGGAAGACATTACTTACTAAACATGCGAAATGCGCGGGTTCTGTCTTTCTCTCTTTGCTACTCACGGGCGGGGCTCCTCTGGTTCTGCACTCGGACAAACCAGGCGAGGTTATGGTTGCGTAGTCGGTTGAGGTGAGACACATCCAAGGCTCCCCTAGTTGGGGCTTTAGACATGGTCTCTTGCTTGCTTGCTTGCGTGCTCTTGCTGGCTTGATTGCTTGCTTGCTGGCTGGCTGGCTCGCGAGGGTGGTGTGGGGTCCCGTGGGTCCCCTGGCCCGTGGGCTTTCCCTCTCTCTTGTTGTCTTTCTTCCTGCAGGCATGAGGAAAGGGCTGCCGCTCCTCCTGCGCTAGTGTGCACGCCTGTTTGGAGTGGAGTGAACGGCAATAAAGGCTGTTGGGAGAAGAGTAAGTGGCAGAAAAACACATATGAGCGACTTGCTCTCTCTCTCTCTCTCTCTCCCCTGCTTTTGGCGCAGTCCCTTTGTCTTGCTCTACGCCCCGCATTCAGTAACACGTCTGATGTCGCATCGGCAATCACTCCCCGATAAACAGATCACTGGATGGTCCCGTGAGGTCAGACGGTCTGTCTCCGCGGCCACCGTTTGCCTCTCCGTGTTCTTCGACGGTGATGTTGAAGCTCTCGCCCAGGGTGAATTGTCCAGTCGATACCGTACATAAAATACACATGCGTGTAAGGATGTGTAGGGCTTCGAGGCCAGGCAATTATCCGGTGCGAGTCCTTACCACCCCCACCCACATGCGACTTAGAGACTCGTCTCAGCCAAACCTCCCGTCGAGTGCCCACCTCGACCTGCACTATAATCCTGCCGTCATTTCGATGCAGTTGCCCCTGCACGCGCTCTGGCAGGAGCTTCTCTTGGTCTTATACGGCCTGTGGGCAGAGATGACCCCTGCTCACCGAGGAGTTGGTTCGGGTACACCTTCGTCGTCTCTCATCTTCTCTTACTCTCTCATACGATTTCAAGGTGTGGTTGCAGGCTGCATCCTACCCTGTTTTTCTTCAAGCCCAAACTCACGAAAAGCTGTGAGCCCCCTCAACTCCCAAGGATACACACTCTCGCCGTGGTCCTCTCCTTTCTCAAGGTGAACTTCTGCATATTCCGGCCTGCTCGAAGTCTTTTCGAGCCAGAAGCCAGCCTTTGGCCTGGCAGGCGCAGCACAGCGTGCGCACAGCGTATATGTGCGAACATGCAGATCCGCTCCCAGAAGCCAGGCCGGAACAACGTTGCTGTAGGCACAGCCACGTCGAAACAGTGCTCGAGTGTTGTTCGGGTCCACACTGAGCGCCTTCCCGCAGACAATGCTCAGAGCTGTTCAAAGAACCACGCAGAGCCATGCACGATCAGACCTTTTGGCTGAGTCGTGGCCTCTTGTGGCTGCGACATGCACTAGCCACATGTTGACAAGCTATGTACGGAGTTCTCTTTTGCGCAAGAATGGGGATGCAGAAGTGGCCTTTTTGCAACTAGCAAGCGGCCGGGTGCATTGTTCGCTGCATTACTGGCGACAGTACACGCATTGCTACAGCTCCAGGTCGCTGTTCTGATCAGCACCTTCGAAGCACAAAGCTCTTGCGGACAGCCCAACTCCACAGGCCGGCAACCGATACTTGGATTACAAGCCAGATGCAACCCAAGGGCCGTATCTCAGGGCAAATCTCGGGGGCAGAACCGACTTCAGATTCACATCGAGAGGTCGATATGCTGCATCACTTGCCCCTGCAGCTGCGAAGAACAGTTTGTCACCTGAGCAGCAATGTTCAGCAATGTTCAGCTCTGCCTTTGGTGTGCACGGCCTCTGCTTTGATGACCGGTGTTGATACATCTTGCAGGCTGAGGCACCATCGTCTCTGGCACGCAGCGATTTGGGCTGGCAGTCTTCCCCGGCCTTCGCGAAGCGCATGACCTGCCTGTCGCGGTTAAAGGTGGTGTGGTAGTACCGGAAGAAGGGCATGCCCAAAATCCAGACTGGACCAAGCTGAGTCTTCATGTCCATCTCCTTGGCAATGACACGCTCCTACATGCGGAGTGCAGCGTGTCAATGACCTCGATAGCTCTAGCAAACCAAGGTTTTGCAAAGCTGCCATGAAAGCTGGCATGCACGAATCAATCTTGCGAATCTTCGGCTTGAAGAACAGGAGATCCCAAATGCTGTCGGCTTCCACGCTGGCACCCACGACCCTCCAAGCGGAGCTGTCTACAAACACTGCCCACAGTTTGACGTCAGCTACTGCGTGACAAAACGGGTCTCATTGCGTTTAGCAATTTTTATTCCATGCAGAACTGGAGGTTGGGCTTGTTGCTAGCCGTTGCAGAAAGTGACCCTGCAAGAAATGCAGTCGCAATGGCCTCATCACATAGGCTTGCGGAGGAAGCTCCAGCTCATGGCCGTCCAAGTTCAATTTGAGATTGGGCAGCTCATGTAGGTTGGAGCAGTCCTGTGTTTGCAGTCGCGTTGTGGAGACTGCAGAAACATGGTGTGACACTGGCCGGCGGATCGTCTAAACCGAAAGGGGCGAGTCTTGGCAGACATAAGTTGAGCGCAAACACTCGCGATTCACGATGATCTTAGCTGAATTTCCTGGGAATTGGCAGCCGGGTAAATTACGACAGTCTACGACAGGCCAGCTACCGAGAGTCTTCGGCAGAGGCCCTGAATCTCAGAAACACAGCTAAGCAAGTAACCCCGCGTTGGATGGATCGTCTCGTCATCGTGTTGCACATTTTTAAAGTTTCACTACAGCCAAGCATTCGTGCCGCAAAAGCAGCACGGAAAGTTCATGCGAGGCAGCAGAAGTCGAACTTTACAAACAAACATCTCGCCCTTGACTGAGCTTTCACTTGTCCTGCGAATACCGGTCCTCTTCGATCTTGCCAATCTGCCGGCCCAGCTCCATGAGTGCCGCTGCCGGAGCCGCAATGAGTGAGGTGCCGCTGTCGACAATGGCGGCACAACCATCTTGACACACCTCTGCTAACAGCGCTTTGGAAGCACTCACCCAAGAGTGTTGGTGACTGCATGCTGAACAGGGTTGATGAGGCTGCGGCTTGGCTCTTGGTGGAATTTCCGTCCTTTACTACATGCTGCCTGTCTACCGCTGCACTCCCTGTTGAGACCACCAAGTACAACGAGTCTCCTTGGTGAAGGAGACATGCGTCAGGTTTGTGGCCCAGTGGTGCTTGCCCAGCACACGAGCAGTTGCGACATCAAGAGGCTCCTGACGCTGGAAAGGATTTGTCATGCATCATTCCAACGGCGAGAAAGCACTGAAATGCTGTGGAGACTCCATCGCGGCATCGGCATCAGGACCCCAGGTCAGGTACCCATTTCTGCCAGACTCCTACGAAAGCACATCCCATTCCACGTGAACATGCGCGAACCATTGCACAGGTGTGAGTGCTCTTTTCGAAGATGTCCTTGTTCAGGCAAATTGAGAACTCGTCAACCTCATCACAGGACAAACGGCTCAAAGCAGAAACCACACGTGCATTGTGCGTCTAAGCAGCATGATAGTTCATCAAGAGTGTTTTCCTCACATGCAGCCAGACGGAACCACAACCAAAATGCAGAATCCGCCCTGAGACATGTGAGAGGTACCGTAGGGTGCCGGGCACGTCTTAGCAAATCGCTTGAACGTTAGCATGTCAAGCTTTATCAGCTTTTCGTGCCCGAGGATCTGCGCAGTGTTGTACCCGAATTTGGGGCCAATCCCAACAATCGCAGCAAACTTTGCCGTGTCCAATATCGGGATCTCATGCTGCAAGATCCTTGCAAGCGAGCCCGCAAAAAGACCAGCCAGGAAGGCTTAGCTTTGAGACAGATTTGCCCAGTCACTCCCAAATAGGCTGCTGGTCTGCGATGAGTTTCGGGCCCACCTGACATGCACCAGTCGTTCACGCTTGTTTGCGATGGTGGCTGGCCCATGCCTGTACTGTGTCGTACCCGAGCATCGTCACACACGGCCCGGAACCGTAAACATGCTGAGTCATGGTCCCGTTCTCCTACACAGACAGGTGCAATAGAGCACTGGCATAGTCTCTACAGTCTCGTCTCCTTGTACGTCTTGCTGAGCTCGTGAGAATACGGCGTGGTCGGGTGGACACACATCTTGCATCTTGACGATCGGACCACGATCTCGAATGAGCCCGTATCCTGAGTGACATCATACACAGTCTTGCCTGACCAGCATAGACACATAAGCTGCCATCGTCAAGTCTCGAAAATGGCAGCAATGTCTTGCCCACCAATCTTGAAATCCGCGAAGTACTGCACATCCTGCCCAGTCGCAAAAACGCAATGTGCACTTAAAGTAGCTCCCCCCAGCACAGGCAGGTCAAGCTTGAGTTGATTCCAGCTGATGCCTCGTGGTTGTGCAGCTGCTGGCGGAAGGACATGGACTGCCTGCTGCGGCTCAACTAGCTTACAGCTGGCTCTATTTGGAAGAAGCACTAAGCTTCATGGCTTAACAGGCTTAACAGTGAGAGAAGCACTGGACAAACTGTCTTAAGTCATGAGTGCACAAAACAACCGCTCGGGAAAGTTGAATGAAAAGATAGAGAGCGAAGGGAGCATGTTCGACGTGGCAGGGCTCACCCATATGCAGTCAAGATGCCCAGGACCCCTCGTCCGTAGCCTTCCAGCTGCGGCCAGCCCGAAGGCCAAGACCTGGACTCTGGATCGAAATTGGCTTGGAGTTATGAGCACCATAGTGACCATAGTGGCTCCTTTCTCGTCTGCCGTCGCAGCCAATCAACTTTTGTACCTAACGGCTGCCAGGCCAACTACCTGACTAAGCACAGCCCATAGCACAACTGAAACAATCTGAAAGACAACTGCATCACGAAGGCTTGCTACGAGCTGAGCCGTTGATGGCCCCGTCGGTCTGACTTGGACCAGGTCCGACAGAGGTTTTGCAGCAGCAAGGGTTGCATCTTGACCCATGAGTCATGCATGGACATTTGGCACGAAATCAGGGTTCCGATTGAAACCTATCGATGTGAACAACATCCGCGAGAAAAACTGCTCCAACAACGTGCCCATGCAAATCAATTCTCGAATACGTGCACAATCGCAACGACAAGACCGACGTGCGATGCTCTGCACCTGTCAATCTGGTCTTCGTCTTGTGCGATGACAGGCAGTCACTGACCATGCAGCTGGCTTGCCAGCTGTCCCACGAAGCTGCCTGCAAGTCTCAACGGACAGATTGAGCTTCCTCGCTTTGCTGCTCGCTTTCCCGATGCTTTGCGTCAAGCACACTTGTCGCGACATGCACGCTAGCGGCTAGCGCCTGCCAGCCTTCTTTTGCTGCATCTGCCGCTGTGCTGGCACATCTGGCACACCCTTAGGGACTAGGCTCGCCTGCTCTGTACAAGCTTTCCAGGCGGAGCTTCTGAAGTCCCTGCGAAGCCCTCAGCCGGTGAAACAACGAAGGCGTGACTTTTGCCAGCTGCCGGGTCAGAACATCCGCTGGAGCTGGGTAAAAGCAAATGTTTCCCCTGTGCTCAGGCCTCAGGCAGTCTCATCTGCGAAGTGCTCTTCCACACTGCTGTCCATCCGCTTCCATCTATGTCTGCCAGAGTCCGCCTTAGGACTCACAAGCTCGTGCTCTCGTGCAGCTTGTCAGTATTTACCGAACCCATTTATTGAATTCTCCAGGTCTCGCATCCTGCTTGAGGGCTTTCGCTTGTACCCTTCCCACTTCCGAATGAATATCGAACGGAAGTGCTGAAGCGGATCGCTGTGGCTAGGGGCAACTTCTTGTCCGAGACGGCAACCCTGATTTCCTGCAGCCTGCCGCTACAGTTGTTGGCCTGGTAACACTTTCAACCAGGCCGGTGTAGGCTGATTGTAGGGTTCGTTCGTTTTGATGTTGGTCTCGTTTCGTCGGGCTCGAAACCCGCTGGAGGGCATGAGTGGTTTGCCGAAACAAACCCTGGCTCAGACATGTGCCTATCATCCTTGAGCCTCTTGCTTTCCTCCTAGGACCTACTATTGATACGCTTGTTGCACAGCCTGCTGACTAAGTTTCAGCACATGTAGCTACTTCTACCAGGAACCCTTCCCTCTCAGCTGTTGGTCAAGTCTTGCTGGGACAGGTATGCTACTACAACAAGGTGACGGCGCCCCCACAGGGCCCTGTGTTTAGACGCTTTCTTTGTTAATGCCAATGCAACACAGCGGCGTGGCCAAAACTCGAGTGAAACACGCATTTTGCATGGGCGAGGAGCTTGCACGGGTGCCGGAAAACACCAGAGGCTCATGCAAACTTTTCGCGAAACTGCATTTTCGCTCGGCGCCGATTTTTTCTGCTTTTTGTTTTTCTCCGGTGGGACAGCTTCAAAAGTACAAGCTGCAAAAGGGGCGCTTGAAACCTCAGGAGTCATTTTACAGATTTCGCCTTGCTAAGATCCCAGATCCCCTTGTGCTGCAGCACTTCGCCAGCTCTCAGGGTTCAACTCTTTTTGGTCGTAGTGGGCTAAGGCCTGCGACAAACATGCATCTACTGGAAGTTGGTAACCTAAGCTCTGGAGTCTAGAGCCTATACCTCAAACACCAGACCCAAGCGCTGTCTTTAGAAAGCCTGAGGTGGAAATCCTGCACCTCAGTATTCTTAAATGCCGCTTCCCCCGAATAATATTTTTTACATTATGGATAATGATTGAGATAATGATTGAAATCTACACCCTGCAAGATTCCACGACCTACTGCTGCGCACGTCCTTGAAGCTTCTAGGAAAGTCATTCAGTGATCAGCTACGCAGCTATGCTGTTCAAGCCAGCATTTCTGCGGATGCAGTGTCCAGGGAGCGACGTCGGATGCACATCATCAAGCCTCCCCCCACCCCCCACCTCCCAGCACTCGGAAATGTGTCTAAACGCAGGGCCCCGCACAGGCGCCGCCTCCTAAAACAAGGTTGGTCAACGACCGCGTCGTCATCTGAATCCAGCTTTTCCAGCTTTCTCCACTGACTAACCGGACTTCTCCTTCCGTACTTGAAAGTGTACATGGTTGGCAAGATGCGGCATACCACTTCTGCAATTACCGCGTCTGAACATGCCCGTGCTCGGAACACTCTGCCAAGTAGTTCGTTTGAACCCCATTCGTGTTTGGACAATCATTCCAATGCGCGTTCTGGCATTCAACGAGGAGCCGAAGTTTTTCATCCCCAGCCACCAATTTCATTAGAAAGCGTAGATGCCTGCTGCATCCTGCTTCAGTCTTAATCGAGACCGATGCATTAGGTCGTCAACAAAGTCGAGGCCGGTACTACTTTCAGTTTGTGCCTCGAGAGATGCTGAACGTACTGCCATGTTGCCTGCATGGCTGTTGCTTTGAAATACTTGTCGCTGGACGACAACGACATAAACCCTCTGCGGCTTATGTCACGAACGCGGTTACCATCGCAAACATGCAGCAACAGCGCAGGGCCCCGGTGCTTTCCCCCTGAAAATGTGGAATCTGAGCAGCCCGCGTGGCCAACCCCTCGTGCTTCCTACTGACTTGCTGACGAGAAAAGGGGGCGAGTTTCCAGACATGTAGCTGTAGCTGTTCACATGAACGCAGCTCAGATGCCACGGACTCGCCACGATGAAACCGTTGCTGCCGATTAAAGGCACAGCGCAACGCCAAAGCAGCGCCGAATGCCGACAACCTTGAAAGTAGCAGAAGCACACATTCGACATGTCGGCAACCTGCAGGACATCTAGAAGATCCTGCAGGGAAGGTTGCGGCAGTTAGGGCGGCTCAGGCATCGACGCTGCGCTGCGACGGCAGAGCCTTGCAGCATCTTCGTCACCTGTGCAAGAAAGGGCTCTTAAAATCTCTTGAAAAGGCAATCTCAAAGTCCGTGATGAAGCCACGGTTGCTCGTCATCGCACGGTGTCACAGATCTATGCCAAGGCTCCTCTGGCCAAGGCGGTCTGAGACATTCCGAACAGCGCGAAAGCCAACGCTGCAGCGAGCATCCAATCCTCCAGTTTTGCAACAACAGGGTGTGCTTTACTCTGGGGTCATGCTTGTTGGCAACGTGCGACAATCCGCTGAGATGCTTGCAGGTGGCATAGCGTAAGCAAACGGCCAAGCCCATGGCAGAAGTGAAGGTGGTCACGACAGCTGATGGAGACAGCAGGCGAACCTCCAATCGGTCTGCCAGCCGCTGCACCTGTGGGCTGGACGCGGCTCTTACATGCTGTGGCTCCGGGTTTGTGGCTCACCATGGCTCACACCATTCACAACTACTGATTTCATGAGGTCGGGGAGCCTGGAGGCAGAGCGCGACACCGACCCACGCAATACCTCCAGCGCTATGCAGTGGCCCTACCACTGCTTGAGAAAGAAGCAAAAAGAGAGAGAGAGAGAGAGAGAGAAAGAGAAGCAG